AAAACAAAACAGACAAATGACAAATGAAACAACCAACAATCAGACTAAACAGCAACTCAGACAATCAGAGGTGGGGGGGGTATGCCATTCATCAAGAGATGTTTATATGCCTGCTTATAATGCCTAACTAAGGTTGTTGTCCTAATAATAATAATAATAATAATAATCTGGGACCTCATTTCAGACTTTAGTGTACGTATGAACGACCTCTGACCATAGCTGTTTTTGTAAGCCTGTACTGGGATTATTGCTTGCGAGAGTGATCTAGTGATGCGTTCCTGAGTGCTGGAGACGAGCTGTGGTTATGGATCTGACAGTAAAACTTAATGGCCTGAATGTTTGTATAATTAGAAAGTTAATGCATATATATTGACGTTGGGATATGTACAATTGCTCAGAAGTTTATTTTGAAAATCAAAAATGGAATTATTGCTCGTCAAAAATTGATTGTAGGTTTCCAAATGATGAACATTGTATCTAAGTGGATTGTTGATCCGTCAGAGTCACTGGAAAAGATACTGTTGATGTATAAAATGGGGAATAGTGTTTTTCACGATCCTTTAATTTCCCCTTGCACGTGTCTGTTTGTGTCAGTCTGAGCGGACTTCATGATGTACTTATTTTGTAGTTTTAAGCCCTCCTTACTTTGTTTTCTTCTTCTCTGGTAATTACTATATATTCATATTTTATTACAAAAGATATTAAAAGAGTTTGAATAGTCTTAATGCCCCCCCCCCCCGACATGCTGAAATGTAATGTCCTCTAGAGTAAACTGAGTTGCTGTTGGTCAGTTCAACTGGTTATTTGTTCAAAGGGTTCACAGTATCGGTGGTCAGTGCAGACGAGCTGGATCTTCAATTAAAACGAGGCGCTGCCCTTTGAAGGCAGGATGCTGTAAACCCCTGACAACCAATCACCTTTGACCTGATGTCCAACAAGGCCATGTGTCATCCCCAGGAAGCTGTAATGTCTTCAACCAACCGTACTCACACATGAACCAATTGAGCAGAAGACCGACCACACAAACACACACACACACACACAGTCGCACGCACGACATGGCTGCCGGCTCTGAGTGGCATGGACGTAGAGCCGAGGTGACAGCAGTGTGTCAGAGTGTGTGTGCACATTCAGAGGTGTGTGTTCAAGGTCTCAAGTGTTAACATGCTCCTCCCCCCCTCGGGCAGCCAGCCCCTTGTCAGCCTTCCAGACTCTGCTCAACACTAAACCTTTACCTGACCTTTCCCTCTGCTCTGACATTTGGACCCCGGTGAATAGGTCAAACAGCACTAAACAGTGGTGGAAAAATGGAAGCAAGCTGAAGGAGAAAAGAGGGCAGTCAGAGCGGAGAGAGGTGACAACAAATGGCAAATGTGTCGGAAAGACCCCAAAGTTCTGATCCGACTCAAATTCCCAGGATTTTGTTTCAGAAATGTGCAGTCACTGATGTCAGGAAGTTTCTGAAGCACATGACATAAAAATGTTTTGCCAAGATAGCAGACAGAGCCTGATGCTATAATGGCAGTTATTGTCATTTTATCAATGCTACATTGATTGGATGTATTGACAGTATTATTAATGAGCGTGAGAAAATGATAAACAAAACAGTTGAGACAAACATACTGGTGATGACTCACACTTGAGGTGCAGTGACTTTTCCTGAATATTATCCGCTTGGTTCACACATTAGTTCACCCCGACTCATGTGGATATTTAACCGGGGGGCTGGCAAAAATTCTGGATAGAGTTGAGGTGAAAAATGTGGCTGTTTGCGATCGTACAAGCAGCTCGCCCCCCCCAAAGAATGTGGGTAAAATAACCAAGAAAAACACCTGCGCTCCTGGTCCCACCTTAATGATCACTCACTGCAATGGGAGAACTTTAATGGGGCACTGGAAGGAAGGAAGCTGCCAGCTTGCTAATTTTAGACACTCTGCATCTCAAATGAAACGCAGGAAAAGGCAAAGGGGAGGTGTGGAGGGGCGGGAAAGTTCTCCATCTCTCACTTTCATGACTTTCGGTATCATGTCTTTCTCACTTTCATAACCCCCTGCATCCACTGTGAGAGAGTCTCATCGCTCTTTGATTCTCTGACTCGCTTCTCCCTCTCTTCCTGTTCCCAATCCTCCTTCTCTCGCGCTCTCTCTTCCTCTGTCTCTTCACCTTGTTTTTTTTTCACTCCCTTTCATTCTCACCTCCCTCCCCTTCAGTCTGTACCTGAGTAAATAAACAGTGTTGTGGGGGATGCTAATTAGAGCAAGTTCAGGGACGTGATGAGCCAGGAGACAGATAAACAGCAAGGTGGGGAGGAGAAGAGATGAGAAGAAGGGGGGGGGGGGGGGTGGAGGTAACCCACCCCAAGGGCAACTCAACACAGACACAAACACGTCACCTTAGCGGTGAAGGACAGGCTTTCAACCCAATGTAGGGTAGCTTTGAAAAGATGAGTGTTAGTAAGGTGGAGGACCCATGGTGCTGAGAAGGAGTGAGGTGCACTCAAAGACAAGGGCGCACCTGATGGAGCTGAAGCGTGATGGGAGGGTGAGGAAACGTCATGCAAACGTCCTTAATGATGGCAGCTACTTTAGAGCAGAGGTCCACCGGTATAAGATCAAAAGAATATGCAGATGATTCAAACCGGTCTTGTCTTGTTAAGGTGAGCCTGAGCCTCTGAAAGCAGGTCAGTGTGAGGCAGCTTGTTCTTATTTAACATGAGATGGCCTTTCTGCAGGGAACACACGGCTGGACGCAAAGGTGAGAGGGCAATGTTACCAACAAGGATGCTTACACTCAGAGACTCTGAAAACACTTGTAACCTTTAACTGAATTCAGATCACCTCTTGAAATAAATATCTGCATGACCTACATTATACAACAGACAACAGAACTAAAGACGCAAGACTTGGAAACAGTTCTGAGTGAAGTTACAAATATGAAGACTTAAACCCATAACCTGGGATTTCCCACATCCTGGATCTCTCTTGGAATCACTTCATTTTTGTTGCTGCTTTTTGCTGAGTAGGGGCTTCATGTGATATCATGTGCAGGGACCTGGATCTATATGAAGTTCTTGGGACATTATTTAACCCAACTAAAAGAAAGAGTCCTGAGGCTTGGGGATTTCAACAATAAATGTCCTAATGAAAGGATAAGAGCTCAGTGAAGACATCCCTCATCCCAATGATGCCCCTTTGACCTACTGAAAAGTTACAAGACCTACCTTATGGCCCCTTAGTTGCCACCACAACCTACAAAGTGATGCCACCTTAAAAAGGCTCAGGCTCTATTTCTGCGAGCTGGCCATTTAGGGCGCGCTCACACTAGCAAAGTTTTCTCGTACCGTGCTTAAGCACAATTGTCCCCCCTCCCCATTCCCCCCACAAGTGTTTAATAACTGGATTTCAGGAAACAAAGCTAACAATTTGTCCATCTCTACAGATTGAAGATAGATTTAAAAAAATCATCAGATGATATATCGGTATCTGATTTTTTTTCCGTCCCAATATCGGCCCCAAAAATCCATATCGGTCGAGCCCTAGAGAAAATCAGTCATTGCTTGAAATTCCATATTTCTCAAAATAGAACCACTAAAACGGTCTGCACACTCCCCACGTCTTCTAATTACTACAGTTGCATGCTTGAAACCATCTTAAAACTGTGCAAAACAGTTATTTATAATCACTAATTATTATATCCTCATATATATTCAGTACTCTGAGCTGCTCCAGTAAAGTGGCTCGGTGGGCGACAGTGCTGTGCTAATAAAAACAGCTCGACAATGTGTTTAACTGTGAATAAAAAAACAGGGCGCTCCGGTGAAAAAACACTTCTTTCTTCGCTTTTCTGCCTTGACATAGTCTCCCAAAGTGTGTTTTTCTCGATTCCTGAAGTTTGTTCCTGACGTCTGCCTGTCTGTCTGTCGTATCTCTGTCCACAGATTGAGCCTCTGCTAAGGTGTCTTTGTCGGGTTATTAAAACTGTAGGAAACTCTGTCTGGCAGGATCAAAGCCAGCCGTGGACTGTAATGATCACTGATGCTGCTGTTAAATTAACCAGACGTGAGCGCTGTTCACTCTAATGGGGGAATTTTGGCTCTGCTGGCAGCGGAGGTGAGCGAGAGAGGCAGTGGACCAGGTACAGGAGTGGACAGAAGACAATGTTAGCAGATCGTGTAAACACCGTCTTTAATGTTACTCCGAGATGTTTCATGATTAAAAAGACTTCTTATGATCCCAGATTAAAGGCAGATTGGTAATGACAGGTGCAGGGGAAACCTTGCCGTTACAAGGACTTGCATAAGCTTTTAATCTCACGTTAAGTCCAGCACAAACACTGATGAAGAGACGGAGAGAGCGGAGGGGATCACGATATATATCTCGAAGAGATAGCAGAGGAGAGGGGAAATGGAGGGAAATGTGATGGCTGGATAGATGAGCTATTTTTATAATGAGGTCAGAGTGAGCTGTGGGATTTCATCCTCCTGGGAGACACACACACACACACACACACACACACACACACACACACACACACACACACACACGCTAACACAGGAGAATTGTAGCCATGTATCACTCCTGCAGAGAGGGGCTGCCTCTGTCCACAGGAAGAAGAAAAGGAGGAGCAGTAGGAAAACCCGATGACAGTGAGGTTTTTAAGGATTTTAGTCATAAACTGATAGGTTGGAGTGATTTCATGTTCACCCTCTAGTTAAAACGCATGCAGGACTTCTTCATTATTAAACAAGAATGACGTTCACTCATCTTGCCTTTGCTTAAGAATATACAGATTCCCCCAGTCCCTACTGCAAACCCAACTCTCTTTAATAATTCCTGTAACACGACAACAGAAAACAGTGCCTCTTGTCTCCAAACACCTTTTTACCTATACCCACATTCATTCACTCAAGAGCTATCCTGATTCAATTTCCCTCTGCAGGATCAATAAAGTGTATCTGATCTCATCTTAAAACATCAAAGGTCAAACCAAAAAGTGCTTACCGATTGGATGATCCCGCCTCCTCAGCTGCTCCCTCACTCCTCCTCTTTCAGGGTGGTGCCCGGGATGTGGTCCTGCCCCCCCCTCTCCACACTCCCCCTGTAAAGACATCAAACACCAACACTTATAACAATTTGTAATGGAGAAAAACACCAACTGTCAGAGTAAAAACATTCATAAATCTGCTGTTAGCATGGAGTCCCAGCTGACAGAAGAAAATTAACTATACTTCATAGATATTTACATGAATAATCAAAGTGGAAATGAGAGAAAATGTATTAAACTTCAAAAGTTTAAGTCATACATCTTTTAAATCAGTTGATTGGTAAAGAAGAACTATCATTGTATTAAAGTGCTCAGAATTTCTACTCCGTAGTACTCCTACTCCTGTAGGTTTTGGGTAGCCCTGATGTGTACCAACTCAAAAATGTGACTACTCATTGAAACGGCACAAACTCAAGCACTGTGATTGGACTGCTGGGAAGCATCTTATTTCCTGCATTAACAACATTTCTGACCTTGCTGCTCTTTTCAAATCTATGATTTTGTAATCCATCAGTTGAATATACTTCATACTCGATGCTTTCGCTCGAGGCGTAATTCCCTAAATTCCAGGAAGCATTTCGAGATAGGTGCAGGGTCTCTCATTTGATCCGTCTGCATCATTAAGAAATGTTAACAGGGTGCTACAACACAGTATATTCAGACAGCAGCTGTACAGGACTGACACTAACAATGCTCTGCATGGTCTGTTTCACAAACACACCTTACAAACTCCCTCTCTTGTACCCTCTTGCTCTCTAAATGCCTGTCGCTTTGGCCCTCCATTAAGCCGAGCGAGCGCTCATTTAGCCTGTGTCTCTGCAGTTGGGGACGCAGGCTGCCCACTCAGTCAGATCCAGCCGTATTAAATAAATAAGGAGCGCTCTTCTGTGTAAATTATTCATTTAACACGCCTTATCCTCTTCCAACAACCTTGTTAGAGCAACTCAGGAGTGGAGAGGAGGGCGAGCGCGGGGGGGGGGGACGAAGCAGAGGGGACGAGGCAGACACGGCGGCTCATGTGCGACTCAGCAGAACCTGTGGTGCATCTCTAAGCTCTCTGGGCGTTCAGTCGTAGGCGGGGGGGCTAATTCGCCCTGACACCTCCTTTGTTTCAGGGGGGAAAAGAGCTGCATGCACACACACATTAGAGCACACACAGACGTGCACAAACTTAGAGAGAAAGAGCAAAAGAAAGGAATTTTCAGTGCATATTCATAGAATAATCATTCTAGTTGTCTGGATGAATTATTGAGAAACAGGAGACTGGGACACGCGAGGCTGGAATGCGGAGCGTTTTTTTTTTTCTTCTTCTTTACGGCCTGAACTCAAATAAGACAACACAGCAAGTCATCCACTCCAAACAAGCTGATTCTAATGAGCCGGGATGGGGACGTGTAGAAAAATGCTTATTGTGAAGGAAACAACAGTTGTGGAGATTAACCTGGAGGACAAATGCACGCAGCACCCGATGTTAAAACAATGTTGCTTCATGCCTCTGAACTGTAACTGTATTCAAGGCAAATGTATAAAAACACATATTCAAGGTGAATAAAATCGTACTATAATAAATTTACTATAAATACTATAAATTATTATTTACTAATAATACTATAAATTTATACCAAAATCATGCACGTACACGAAACTCTGATTTAAATATTTAAGCTCCCATTAAGGGAAACAACTTTCATTTTCAACAGTACAAAAATTACAAGTCAGAAGTCAAACAAAACTTGGCTTTTTATACTCTGTACAACTCCAGTGATGCCGAAGCATTAAGCTTCAAAGGTCAGTGTAATACACTCCAGGTATGGTGGGGGGAGATTATGTGCAAAAGCTTAAAGTCTTAGTTAACATGATTTACCTGCAACTCCAACCTCTCCTGTGATCACAATGAAAGCTTGTTTAGAGAGGAGCATGAAAACATTAAGAAAGAAATGTAAATTCCCCTTCCTCATTAGCCACACCTACAGCCGTACGTCAAATACCAACCAACTGGGAGGGAACAGCTGAATGTGACTGGGAATGAAATGGTTAATTCTCAGACAGTCCTAGGATCAGCCCGACACAGACAGAACCTGCCCCCCCCCTCTCTATCTCTTTCTCTCTCTCTCTCTCTCTCTCTCTCTGTCTGTCTGAGTCTGACTCCAGCGTTCAGCCCCAGAGCGGGAGGTTGTTATGTCAACTCTGACAGTGCTCATTACCAGCCTCTACGCTCTGAATTGGAGTTAACAGGCTTTGGCCCGGGCAGAGGCCAGCTAGACCCGACTGCTACAATGGGATCAGTGTGTGTGTGTGTGTGTGTGTGTGTGTGTGTGTGTGTGTGTGTGTGTGTGTGTGTGTGTGTGTGTGTGTGTGTGTGTGTGTGTGTGTGTGTGTGTGTGTGTGTGTGTGTGAGTGCTGGGAGTTAATCACAAAACACTCTTTCATTTCTAAATCACACCCTGAGGCCACTGTACATTATGGTGGCACTGATGCACAATGCAAAGTGACATCTACTGCTTATTTCCATTTTCACACACAAACTCCTCCACATGAGACGTGATGGCAGCTTCCTGCTACCAAACAGCTTCTGCTTCAGTTTGTGCCACTGTTGCATTTATATCGTGACCAAAGCGGGATAAACTCTGAAAAGTTTACACAGTGCACAGGTAAAATTATAAAATACTTCTACTACCACAGTCCGATCGACCACGCCCCTAATTATGCACAACTTTTATCCTACATTAAATCAAATCAGGTGAGTTATTTAAAAAAAAAAAAAAAAAAAACACCTCTGTAGAGAATGTGCCAATAAATACATTAACAAATCAGACCAAATCAATTTTTGTACCAGGCTGTAAAAATGTTTATTTCTGCTCTCAAAATGGACATTTTAATATGGGTTGTGTACATATCTTAGAGCCACTCCAAGTGAACAATTAAGGAACTGCAGTTTTTTTTACCGTTTCAGTTTTCACCAACAGAGGTTGCCCCTTGATAAAAACATGAAGCTGCTGTCTATGTTAGTCGGCTGTCAGCGTAGAATGAGATACATCTCTTTTGAAATGTGTTAAAATTACAGCATAGATTTAAAGTGTTTAAGTAGTCACTTTACATGTTGGACAGCTTATTTAACAGTTAAGAGTAACAGCTAACTTGTTAGAAATTAAATGGTAAATGTAAAATGGACTTTTTTAGTCTTCTGACAACTCAAAGTGCTTTTACACCAGGTAACACACACCTACCAATTCACACACTGATGGTAGAGGTTGTAAAGTGACCATCAGTATTAGATAATCTTACACACTTATATGCCGCCAACAAAGCAGTGGGAGCAACTTGAGGTTGAACATCTTGCCCAAGGACACTTTGGACATGTGTCTGCAGGAGCTGGGGAACGAACCCATGACCTTCAGGTTGAGAGACGGCCACCCTTTGATTTCACTTATTTTATGAAAGAGTCTTGTGACAACATTTGTTATAAATTGAAACTATACAATGGATTGATTATGAAGCACTTAATTTCTAGTCTTCTGAGGACACACACATGTACACTCACAGACACGCAAATATGGTGCCAAACTGCCGATCAGATACTTACACACACACAGTATGCAGAAAAGGTGTCTGACATGTTTTGGTTGTTAGCAGTTATTTGATGCTATAGTAATAGTCATTTGTCCAGATGTACATAAAAAGCAGCATAAAGCTGTCTTTTTTTATATCCTTTAAAAACAGTGTTAAACTGTCCTGTGAAAAGCCTGTCTGCTCTCCTGCTGCTATCAGGTGTCTCTTTGGGCCTCGATGTTATCCTCAGACTCCTGCTCCTCCTCTCTGAAGCCGGTAAGCTCCGAGCAATGTCAATGATTACACTTGTGATTAAGGCTCTCCACTTCAAACGGCCTGTTGTTTACACAGGCTCTGATATGGCGGAGGGGATAAAGAGCAGGTAGAGCTCTGTGTTTGTGTGTTTGCCTTGATGGGAGGATGAATGTCATTACGCCCAGGCTCTGTGGACACACAATCATAACGAGATACAGAAAGTCATTCTGCATATTACAGCAGCTCCATCCCAGAGCTGTCACTCCTCCTCCTCCTCCTCCCCCTACAGAGGCCTATATACTATATATATTGTGTTTCGCTGAGGTATGTGGCAACATTTAGACAGGAGGAGAGAATTATCTTCAAGGCTGACTTAAGAACTTTGCTGGTTTTGCAAGAGGCACTGCAAAAAATATTACTGAAACATTTTAAAGCTAGATTTCCATCTGATTATTTTGTTGGGAAGAAACCGCGCCAAGCCTTTAATGTCTCACCGGCCGTTTGTCTTCATCGTCAGATCTACTGCATGTCAGAGTACTTAATAAACAGGCTGCTTTTTCCATATGTTTTCATCTCAGACAGAATGAGAAACACAAAAGTGTGAGGTGTCCCACAGCTGCAGCACTGCAACCTAAATTAGCCCGGACCACATGAAAAGCTGTCGTCTCTATTCCAGGCCGGGGCGGGAAAATTACAGCCCTGCTCCCTCTACTCTAGCATTAAACCTCAATTAGTGCACAGCTACACCAATGATGTCATCGCCGAGAGACCTGAGAGCCTTAAAAATAAGGGGTACTTTGCTTTACATTGAAAAGAGGCTCGCAACTGATCCACCTCAAACTTTCAGGTCTCATCTGAGAAGCTCAGCGGCTTTGAAAAGTTTATTTCATCCAACTGGTTATGAAGAAGGTGTTCTTCTTTTGATATGCCGTGAAAAAACAAAAGCACAAGAACCTGTGGCCCGCTCCGGCTAAATTTACCAGGAATTTTAATCCTTAGTCGTGACTGAGGTTTTCCCAAGAGACTAGAGGTCAGTGAGGTAGGACAAGAAAAACTCCAGGTTGACCTCCAGCGACCTGGCAGGAGAGAGATGAAGAGGATGAAGAGGAGGAGGAGGAGGGTGACGGGGCCTGGCTCCTTTCCAAACACTGTTTTTCTTTTACTGCCCATTCCTCAGAAAACCACTTATATTACACAACAAACACGCATACTTAGATGGTGAGGAACTTTCACTCATTGCTTCAAACTTT